ATTATGCATACAACCAGAAAGCTCTTCACTTATTACCTCTTTGACTAACATGGAAACCAATTGCCTCAACTCTGTGTGTGTGTGAGTGTGTGTGTGTGTGTGTGTGTGTGTGTGTGTGTGTGTGTGTTGAATATTTACTCAACTAGGTGATCAGCTGGAATCCTGTCTCTTCTATCAGGAAGACACAAAATGGATCGAATTCCCATGGAAAGAGAATGATGATGGTGAGAAATATTTATAATGTGACTATTATAACATCATCAGTGTCAATTACTTCAGCTTAGAGAGAAAGAAAGCAATAGATCTGCTAGACAGTTACACAAATCTGTGACTATAGGAGAACAATTTTCTCCTTATTTTGTGCATAAATTAATCTTTAGGAGAGAGAAGATGATAAGGAGAGGGGCAGAGGTATTTTGCTCCTGCAGATGTTCAATTCAATTTTAAAAAATGTTTTGCACCTAAAATGCACAAAATTTTAAAACAGTAAAAGATAGAGAATAGGAATGGGCCTTCTGAAAACAAAGAAGATTTTCAAAGTCCATGGAAGGATAAAAAAAGAGATTTATAGATGTCAGCCGAAAGCGGGAACATCTGTTATTGGTCCAAGAAAGAAAAGACATGGCATGGTGGTAGGTAATACCTGGCCAAGAGGTAGAAATGCACATAATTATATATTGAATGGTTGAAATTATTTGCCTTCACTAGAGGTCTTCGGGCAAAAATACATGACATTTTGTCAGCTATGCAATAAAATGGATTCCTGTTCAGGTATTATGGGCGATACTAGATGGTTAGGTCCCATTCAAATCTGAGATTCTGTGACCTAGAGGTTCTAGTGAGCTTCAGACTCAAAATGAGTCAGCACTGGGATTTGGCACCCAGAAGAGTTAATATAGTCCCAAACAAAATTAATAGAAATATGGTGTTGAAAGGGAGGTAGTACGTTTGTTATAACCCTCTGCCCTAGGCATACTACACACAGTACTCTATACATTTCTGGGTGCCACATTTTAGGAGAGAAATTGACAAGAAATAGCATATCCACAGGAGGTTGGTGAGGGAATTGAAACTCCTCCACATAAAGATGTTAGTTATCATCAAATATTTGAAGAATAGTATACAGAAGAGGAACAACCTGTTTTGCTTGGTCCCAGAGGAAGGACCTAGCGACAAGGAGCAGAAGTGACAATGAAATAGATGTCAGATCATCACATGGAACTGAAAAGGCTTAAATAGCTGATGGTCATATGTACATAATAAAAACAGGAAGGTGACTATGTTGGGGAAAACTTGCAACTTTTCCCCCTGGATTTAACTTGTTCTCTATGACTTCAATTTTTCCACCCACCCACTAATATCCATAGACAGGCAGAATCAGCTTTGGAACTGAAAAACTAGGGGACCATGGGACCCTAAGAGACCTAAAAGTTTTGTCAGGAGACCAGACTCTAAAAAAAAGGTTGATTAAATGTAGCCAAGCCATTCAAGACAAATGGGGAAGCATTAAGAATGCTTGCCCTAAGCTAGAGTGAGGTCTCCAGAGGGGAAATACAAAACCGTGACCAAGAGTTTTTCCTTAAATGAAAAATAAAAAAATTAAGACCAAGGGCATTAGATAGACAGCACAGAGAACTTCTGTTGTGTGTTCTGCAGAGCTTTACTGCCAAGACTATGAAAAAGAAGGCAAGCCTGACCTGAAGGGGGATAAGTGGGAAAGGCTTTGAATTTTGTTCCCCTTCTTAGGCGGAGATTCATTTGGCCCATGAATGAGTGGAAGGGCTGCTGACCTAAAAGAGCTCTGATGCTGAATAACTTTAAACCAAACCCAGATGGCAAAGCCCATTCTACTTAAGAGAAAGACAGAACACTAGAGCCCCAATTGAAGCCAGAAGCTGGAAGCAGAGAAAATCTCCACAAACAATCATGCTTGGAATTAATGAGGAGACATCCTTTACTTCCAGGCACAGACTGCATGTCCAGCAGAGACAAAGTCTATTTTATGTATGAAGACTATTTTACGGAAAACTCACACAGGACAAGCTTTCACATGGTGGCCGGAAGAAGTGATACAAGGTCTCTCTTAAGGTCTCTCTTGAGAACTTTGTAATTGATTGTATGACACAGGAGATACTGGCACAGTACTGCTCAGCATGGTGTACTCTTGTCAGAGAATGTATTGTGCTCCGTAAGCATAGCAGAATTGAAGTAGTTCAAAAGAAACATGAGATGTGCAAATTTAGAGAATCCACCTCAAATGTTCACATGGGCTATTTGTAATCTGCCCCTCTCCTTATCATCTTCTCTCTCCTAAAGATTAATTTATGCACAAAATAAGGAGAAAATTGTTCTCCTATAGTCACAGATTTGTATAACTGTCTAGCAGATCTACTGCTTTCCTTCTCTCTAAGCTGAAGTAATTGACACTGATGATGTTATAATAGTCATATTATAAATATTTCTCACCATCGTCATTCTCTTTCCATGGGAATTTGAAGTCCATTTTGTGTCTTCCTGATAGAAGAGACAGGATTCCAGCTGATCACCTAGATGAGTGAATATTCAACACACACACACACACACACACACACACACACACAGTGTTGAGGCAATTGGTAATGTAGATACCTGCCCTGTGGTTAGAACATTCTGAACTCCTATTGGTCCAATCAGCCACAGTCAAACATACTATAACTCTACTCTAGCATAGTGATGTCATTTTGGTCCTCTTCGAGAATGAAGGACAACAACCAACCAACATGTCCAGCGGAGACAAAGTATATGGTGGAGACCAGAAGGGTATACACCCCAGTGGAGTAGTACTTTGACTTAACCAGAATTTAGTGGAGGGCCTGCAGCCTCAAAGACTAAGGTATGAATTATTTCTATGTATGTGGACTCTGGCCACATTTTCTCAATATGTTCCCCCAGCTAAGTGTTCCCAAAATGTATCTGTGTGTCCTCCCACAATGTGCCTGGGTGACATATGTTCTCTAGATGTTTGACCTATCTATATGTGTACCTTCCATACATGTGCTCTGGCACACAAGTTCACTATCTTTGCACTACCATGTATGATCTGTGTATGTGTCCACTCTTCCCACTGATGGCATGGTAGTATAGTGTGCCTACATGTGTAGGGAAAATGTGTTTTTCTACTTTTATTGACATTTTATTAAACATTTTCATTTCAAATGTGTCCTATTTGACACATTTATTGACTAATAAAATGGAATACATAGATAGGGGCTCACAAGTTGATCTTTAGAAGAAATATATACAACTATTTTCTATCTATATTAATTATTCTCTACAAAAGCAAAATGTTTTTATTATTTTAATGCATGTAAAACATCTTAAAAGTCCAAATATGTATGTATCTCAGCCACTTTCATAAATGGGTATGAATTAGAAGATATAAAAGATGGAACAGGGGGAAGAGAAGGGGAAGCGCCCCTTAAACTGTGGGTCACGACTCTGGGCTAAAGTTTAAGAAGCCCTGCCCCAGAGGATAAGAAGTTAGGATGCATCCTTAACATTGCAATCTGGATTTAAAAGTTACATTTTAAGTGCATTTAAATGTAAAGATTGAAGCCCTTCAAATAACATTCAGTATGTTTTAAAAATAAGTATATTAATTATATTTTTTAATGATTAAAGAACCCTTCCAAAGCCACATAAGTAATTGCTATCAGTGTTTTAAGCTTGTATTGAATTAAATAACCAGAGGGGAAGCAGGAGAAGAGTGCGCCTTATTTACTCAAATATTAAGCCACTGAATGTGGCCAAATTAGATAGTTTTAAATCTCAAGAAAAAGTTTCTAAATAGATTCCCTTTTGGTTTATAAACTTCAGGGAAAAAAAACAACTCTATTCTCCATCTCCTTGCAATAGGTTTTATTTTCACTTCCAGAAAATGAAAAAGGAAACAGTCTAGAGAAGCTGACTACATTTTTCTGAATCTGGCTTCCTTCCCATTCATTGTCTTTCATATTTTCCCTATGAAAACTAGTGCCTTATAACCCTCCAGAGAATAACTCTTAAAATTTTGCTGAAATATATACTAAACATCAGTGTAGTATAGTATAGAGATTTTGGAAAGGTACATGATGGGCATGAGTAGGCTGTTACACATTACCAGCCAAGAATTCTATAAGAGAAATGGTATAAAGGATATTATCAGAGAGATGCTTGCTACCTGTATGACCTTGAACAAGTCCATTAACCTCCCAAGGTCTCACTTTCTTCATCCATATGATCAGAAGGTTTTACTATATGGGCTCTGACATCCCTTCAATCTCTACATCTATATTCTACAAGCCTATGTATTACTGGATTACAGCTAAGTGGCAAAGTGGATAGAGTGGTAGGACTGGAGTTAGGAAGACCTGAGTTCAAATCTGCCTCAGACACTTACTAGCTGTATGACCCTTAGCAAGTCACTTAAACCTATTTGCATCAGTTTCCTCATCTGTAAAATGAGTTGAAGGAAATGGCAAACCAATCCAGTATCTCTGCCAAGAAAGCCACAAATGGGGTCACAAAGAGTTGGACATGACAGAAGCAATTAAATAACAAGAACAATTGCTGGATTAGAGGGTAGGGTGATTGTATGGCAATAGTGAGTAAGAGTGGTTGATATAGAGTCTGTGTTCCATTGATAGGCATATACTACCAAGAGAACTAGGGGAAGGCCCCAAACATTTTGGGTGAATTCTCCATGGAAGGTTTACAGAAGATCAAAGAAAGAGTGGCACAAAATGAAACAGCATTAATGGATTGGGGTGAATGGATAGAGTATCCACAGCAATGAGATAAAAGATTCATCAAATTTATCGAAATATGGAGACTTTTGGGTTTCTAACACTATGATTACCTACTTTGAATTAACAACTTAGAGTAGGTGATATACAGCCTCTAGGTCGCAAAGCCTTGTGGGATTCCAATTACTATCCCAGTATTTTTACAACAGCAACAGTTTTCAAGAGATATTAACTTACCTAAGTACACGATCAACTCTGTCATCTTTCCTAAGAAATTTCTTAATATTCTCCTCTTTGTGAGGGTTTGGAACATCTTCTGGGTTGTCAAAAGCCTATTTTAAATACACACATAAACACATACAATGTCAAACATGGAGAAATATTTAATTAAAATGGGAATTTTATTCACCATGCAAAATAAAGCACCATCGCATGAGATGAAAAAGGTCAGTGCCACAAATATACATTTATAAGAAAAGATTTAAATAACAAAAACAAGCAAACAAAAATGTCTAAAAGATTGTAAAAAGTTAAAGATGATGTCAGTTTTAGAGATCTCACAGCTTATATAGAATAATTTATTATATGCATTCGGCAAAACTTAAGGTTAAGCAATTCGGTGAAAATTTAATCAAATTCCCATATATCTCAAATGAAATTTTGTTGTTGTTCAGTCATTTCAGTCATGTCCAACTCTTCATGATGCTCTTTGGGGTTTTCCTGGCAAAGATAATTTGCCATCTCTTTTTCCAGCTCATTTTGCAGATGAGGAAACTGAGGCAAAGAGGGTTAAGTGATTTGCCCAGGGTCACATAGCTAGTAAGTATCTGAGACAGGATTTGAACTCAGGTCATCCGAACTCTAGGCCCACTGCTCTATCCACTGTGGCACAGAGCAAGTATACAAGTGTTCTTCCCTGGATGTGCAGATTTGCTGCATGAAACGATTTTCTCTATTCCTTGAAATTTGAGAGCAAACAAAAATTTCAATAGACATTTCCTAATTGTCTACTATGTGAAAGGCATTGTGTTAGGCACTGGGAATCCCAGGGGGTTGGAGGAGGGTAGACAAGCATTCTCAACCCTCAAGGAATTTACATTCTAGTAAAGGATAAAATATATTCATAGTTAAGGAGAGGGGGGGGGAGAGAGAGAGAGAGAGAGAGAGAGAGAGAGAGAGAGAGAGAGAGAGAGAGAGGTTGAAGGATGGGGTAGTGGTAATGGAGACATCAAAGGACAGCAGGAAAATTTAAGGAGAAAGGAAAGATATGAAGAACTAATGGGATGAGAGAAGGCTTTATGGAAGAAATGGAATATAAACTGAATGGTGAAGGAAGAGAATGATTATGAAAGGTGGAAATGAAGAGGAAACATTTTCCAGATAGAGGTGAAGGCCTAAGTGAGTGCATGGAAACAAGAGACGAAATGCAAGTTCAGGGAACAGCTAGAACACTGCTGAAATGTGGAGTTTATGATAGGGAATAAAGGAAAATAAGGCTGGAAAGTTAGATTGGAACCAGGTTATGGAAGATCAGTTTCCTGATTTGTAAAATATTTGAACTGAATTCTAGTACCTTCTCTGTTAATTATTTCCTCTTTATCCTATATATGACTTGCCTTGCATATATTTGTTTCCATATTGTCTCCCCCATTAGAGCTTTGATGGTATGGTATATCTTTTGCCTCTTTTGCATCCCTAGTGCTTAGCACAGTGCTTGTCACATAGTAGGCATTTAATATTTATTGATTCTTGCTTGATTGAGATGACTTCTGAAATACTTTCTATCCTAAATCCTAGGTCTATATTCTTATAAACCTAAGACTATGTTACCTGTCTTGACTTCTATATTGGACTATTGACTCATATTGAACTCACAGACCTCTTTTTTTTCTTTTGGTACAAACTGTTTTCTACCCATTTCAAATATCTCTTGCACTGAGTGCTAAACTATTAAGTTTATATTTTATCTTAGAGACTGCTTGAGAGAGTCACAGAAAATCTGTCAGCAAAGGAGTGACATTGGTCAGCCCTTGTGCCTTAAGAAAATTATTTTGGCAGCTATATGAACAATGAATTGAAGAAGGGAGAGACCCGAGGCAGGTAGACAAATAAGAGGTTTATTTCAACAACCCTGCTGAGAGGTAATGAGATCTGAACTAGTGGTGGTCCTTTGAGTACGCAATTAAGATGACTTGTTAGTTAATTAGACTATATCATCTGAGGGACAAGGAAGCATCAAGGATGACTCTAAGGTTGTGGAAATTTATAACTGAGAAGATGGTGGTACCCTCACAAAGCTCAACAGGGAAATTTAGAGGTTGAATAAAGTTGGGAGCTAAGGGAGAGAGAAGAGAGAAATTCAATTTTGCCATGTTCACAAAATGACAGAACCTCAGAACTGGAAAGGGCTATCAACCTACCTCATCTAGTTTAACCTATACATGAAAAATTATCTCATCCACAGATTTATTTGATAAATATGCTTCTCTGCACATTCTACTTATTGCTTATAGTTCTGACCTCTGGGACTAGGCAAAACAAGCCTAATTCATCTCTCACATGGTAGCCCTTCAAATACTTGAAGACAAGTAGCAATCTCTTCCTGCCCCACCCCGATACATTCTTCTCACGTCTGTGCTAAACTTTCCCAATTCCTTTAAGCAATCTTTGTATGGCATGATCTTGAGGCCCTTCACCCTGATCTTCCTTCTCTGGATGAGTTTTTAGCTTCCAATGATTTCCCTAAAATATGATATCTGGAGCTGAATATAAAGAGACTGAAGTGAGGTAGATGTGTATAGACAGAGGATAGTGGGATAATCACCTCCCTACTCCTGGATAACATGTCTTTCTCAATGCAGTCTAATATTATATTTGCTTTCATGGCTGCCACATTATACTGTTAACTCATATTGAGCTCAGAATCTATAAAAACTAGCAGATCTTTTTTTAGACAATCACATCTGACCACGCTGTCATCATCCTTCACTTGCTAGGTTGATGCTTGAACCCAATTGTAATGCCTTACATTCAGCCATCCACATTTGATCTCATTTGTTCTTCTGACCCTAATCCTCACCTAAGAACAACTGTGAGTATACATCCATCATCTTTCCCTGGAGGACAAGCAAGTGCTTCATCCTCAAGAGCTCCACTCTCTCTTCTTCGGTAAGAGCCCCAGAGCTGTAACTTAGTCCCAAGTTGTTCAGTTGCTTTTTCTCCCCTTTCTTTTCCAAGGCACATTCTTCCACCCTCCAACTCATTGAAGCATGTCAGGATTACCTTCAACTTCTTCATATCATTTCTTATCACACTGAAACCCTTCTCTGTGTACATGTATGCGCCACTTAATTCTCCTTGAAAACTTGAGGTTGTTCCAAGTTATTCCAAGAGCATAAAGCCATTCTTTGAGCCTCTTTTACCTTTTCTTCTGAGAGGAATAGCAGCTTATACTTAGAGTAAATAGCAATTACTTGGCTATGACAGAGATGTGCCCTAGAGGTACACAACTTCTCCAGTGAAAAACTTTTCCCTACTTTGCATACGTTCTGAAACGAACATCCTCAGTTCCTTGTTAACCTTTCTAGTAGTTCTTGTGACCTCATTCTTCTCCAGGCTGTACCGCAGATCTTTTCTACCATGATCTTTCATCTAAATCCTCACTCTAGCCCTGGAATTCAGATGTACGTGTGTATCAATGTATAGGTGCATTATGTATGTATGTGCACGTATGTATTATATGCATTGTGTTATGTGTGAACATGGACCAAACCCATGCTTTCATAAATATAGGAAACTCCCAGAAAGAGCATGTCTATGTCTACGTCCATGTATATGTATATGTATACATATAGGCATATGTTCATAGGAATAGGCATAGACACACACACACACACACACACACACACACACACACACACACACACAAAGCTCTTGTCAGAAACTGCATATAAGAAGGGCACTCAGGCCAGCCATCTCTGATTTCTCTTTAGGCTATACTCCAGACTTCCTCTACTATGCTTAGGCCAGGTACCTTTTTTCTACCCCCAAGTCCCACTCATTTTCTGCTTCCTTTTTTGCGTTATCTTCTTCCACTAGAATGAAAACTCCTTGAGTGCAAAGAGTATCTTTCTAGTTTTGTTTTCTCAGGGCTTAGCACAGTGCCTGGCACATAGTAGATGCTCAATAGATGACTATTGACTGACCAATTTTCCTGAATAATTTTCTTCCCCTTGCTAGCTCCTTTTTGCTGCAGTAGTGCCTTGGCAGCCATAGTCAATTTCTTTCCATTGACTCACTATTTTCTTTCACCTGTTTGTCTAGTTTTTCTTTCTTTCATTCCTCATATTCAAGTCTTTCTCCTTCTCTTCCTTCATTCAAGTACTGCTCCTTTTTTCTCTCCTTCTTAACTACTTCTACTTAACTTGTTCTATAATATATTCCTACATTCCTATACATATTCCTATACATAAAAATATATACATACATATATATGTATATAAACATTCATAATGGGTATGCATTGCATCCAAGTTAGCAGATACAACAGCTGACTAAGAGAAGAGCCCTAGAGTTATAGGATATAAGATAATTACACCCTGAGGGTAGAGGACCCAGGAGAAAGGAAAGAGAATGATAAGGAAGATAGCACCCTGCAAAAAAACTGTTCCTATTTCACCATTTCCCAAGAAGCATCTCCAATAAAGGATCCTATAAACAAAAAAGCATTTATTCTCTACTTCTTCATAAGATAACAGAAAAAGTCACTTCTGTATATGGTTTATGCTACATAATGAATTTAGTTCCACTAAAAAAAAAACACAAGAGTCTAGGCTGGTCTAGAAGCCAAACAATTTGCTCAGGTCATAGGAAGATCTGAACAGTATAATGGAAAAAGCACTATATTTGGCATCATAGTGCCATACCACAGATTTAGAGCTAAAAGACACTTCAGAGGTCATCTAGTCAAGTTATGTAGTAAGTCAAGGATTCAGGATTCACGCTAAAATCCTCTGACTCAAAATTCAGTAGCCTCTCCATTGTAGCATGGATCAGAAGACCTGGAGTCAAATCCTAGTGTTGATATTTAATACTGATATTTAATAGGCTTTAGTAAGCCAATTGCAGCAAAGAGGGTCAAGCACCAGAGATAGAGGAACCAGTAGACTAAAGCAGCCACCATACTGCCTATGTGATTTGGAGCAATCACTTATAACCATGATGGGTCTCAGTCTCCCTATTTGTACAATGAGGGGGTTAGGGGGATGATCTCTAGCCTACCCCTTAAATTCATGTTCATGCCAATGACACCAACAGCTGATTGAAAACAACTATCTTTTTTTTCTAATCTCTAATTTGCTAAACTTGGCTCTTGAATCACAAGATTCTTGCTTGCTAAATTGGATATTCCAAGGGCTGAGTGCTCTATGCAGCATGACTAAAGGTGAAAGCTACAATGAAGGTGGTTGACGGGGTGGGTGGAGGAAGCATTTCTAATAAAACTTACAAGTTTCAGGAACAGAGCTCTAGTTCTATAACTATATCAGATCCAGCTGTATAAAAATGACTACCTTATAATTAGGGTGGGTATATATTCCATTTGTGACATTAAACAAAGAACTACTAGGCTAAGAAAAGTAACTGAAGAACATTATTTGAAGAAACTCAGGATTTAAAAATAGGAAAAGGGAAAAAATCACTTTTGATATCTTCATATTTTAATGGGCACTTCAGTTGGTTCTGCCACATTACTTTTCTTATTTCTTACCTTTCTTGTTATTCTGAAGAATGATGTTATAACACTCATCAGCATCACTTTTGCAAGGGCAATGGTTCCATAGGTGGTAAAAGCTGAGAAAACCTCATTGTCACCCAGCTGGGAAAATTCAACCATTTTGTTGCTTGAGTTCAACTGATGTCCTAAAAAAGAACTTAGCTATTTTAAAAATGACAATAACCAAAATAGCAATCATTAGATACTTGATTCTCTTGAGCAGCAGCAGAAATAATGTAGCTTAAAAAAAAGACAAAATAAACAATAATCCCATCCTGGATTACTTGGAGAAAGTCAATTATGTCTTGGCTTCAAAAAGAAATAAGAATGTAATTTTTTTAAATTTCAAAATATTGGTTCTACACTATTAGACAAGAGTATACCTACACCATTTCTGCACATGCTAAAATGAGAAAACTGCAAGCAAGAAAGAGTAATAAAAATTACTACCAATTAAGTCTCTCCAACAATGTAATAGAGCACTCTGGGAGGTAGGGAGCTCCCCATCAGCAGAGTGTGGATGACTACTTATTGGCGATATTATAAAGAGGATTCCTCTTGTAAAGAGTGGACATCAGAACTACTTTTCAACTCCAAGATCACATGATTATATGAAATTTTGTGAAGCCATTCTAAAAGTAAAATCTAAAGCAAAATCCAAGAAATACTTATTAACTACCTACTGTGAGCAAGGCTGGGGATACAATGAAAAATATAAAAATCTCAGCCTTTAGGATGTATCGGGGGGCAGCTAGGTGGTGCAGTAGATAGACCACCAACCCTGAAGTCAGGAGGACCTGAGTTCAAATCTGGCCTCAGACCAAATGCTTGACATGTACTAGCTGTGTGACCTTGGGCAAGTCACTTAACCCTGATTGACTCACTAAAAAAAAAAAAAAAAAGATGGATCAGAAAAGGTTATGTCATTGATTTATTCACTCGACTTACCAAAACACATAAAATAATACTATTTGTCATTTCATTTTTTTAATGCAAATGATAAAAATACATGTAAATCTTCTTGCCAGGAAAGTCTATAAGTCCTTGCGGCTAACTAATGAGTTTCAAGAGCTGTCTACCTATACCACCCAAAGATCAAAGATAGAAGAAAAGACTTATATGTACAAAAATATTTCTATCAACTCTTTTTTGCAAAGGCAAAGAACTGGAAACTAAGGGCACCCCTTAATTGGAGAATGGTTGAAAAAATTATGGTATATGAAAGTAATGAAATGCTATTTGCTAAAAATTGTTGAGGGATAGTTTCTGTGAAACCTGGGAAGACTTGGATTAACTGATGCAGAGTGAATAAAAGAACAATTTATACACTAACAACAATACTGTACAAACAACTTAGAAAGAACATCACCTTTACTGAGTACTCATGATGAAACACATTGCCCATATCCTGATAGGGAGTGCAGGGTGCAGGATGAGACATATATTTTTTTAATTGCCAAAGTGGAAAATTGTTTTGTATAACTATGCATATTTGTTATGGAGGTTTTGTCAGTCAGTCAATAAACCTTTATTAAGTACCTACTATATGTCAGACCCTATGCTAAGCATTGGCAATACAAAGAAACATGAAAAACAGTCCCTGCTTTTAAGGAGCTCACAGTCTTCTAATAAAGGAGACAATATTCCAACTACGTACAATCAAGCTACATATAGGATAAATTGAATAATCCACAGAAGGAAGTGTTTCCTCCACCCCAGCAGAAGAGCCCCACTTTAACATAGAGTTAAAAGTCAAAAAATAGGCTGGACAAAGTAGCAAACAATTGAAAAATGAACCTGACTGTAGAAAGTTCCTATGGTGACAGGGAGGATCAAAATACAAACTCAGAAGACAATAAAGTCAAAATTGCTAGAGTTCCTTTCTCAAGGTAATCACACTCTAATCGAGGAGATAAAAAATACATATGCACACACATACAGATATGTGTGTATATATATAGATATAAATCTATATGGAATATGTGATATATATGAATAAAAAATCAATTAACCTTAGAGAGGAATGCACTAGTTGCTAGGGGCTCCTTAAAATACCTCCAAGTATGTGATACTTGAGATGACTTTTGGAGGAAACCCAAAATTCCAAGAGGTAGAGGTAAAGAGAAAGAAAGAATCTCCACACTAGGAATTGGGTGTATTTAGTGAGTACAAAGGCACACAGACAGGAGACGGACTGTTGTGTATAAAGAACAAGTAAATCAGGATACCTAGATCATAGAGTGTGGAGGGAAATCATGTGAAAGATGACTAGAAGAAATCAAGTTGTCAAGAACTTTGCATGCCAAACAGAGGAATTTATCTTTGGTCCAGAGGCAATAGGGGAGCCACTTAGCCTCTGCAATGGTTAGTGTTAGAGCTGGCAGACATGAGACTGCCCATATTTAGGTTATAAGTAATCCAAAGAGCAGTGAAGAGATGTATGGTGATCATGAGTAGGCTGCTTGCCACACATTTCCAATTATAAGCTATGCACAAAGAAGGGCTATAGTGTATAATAAAAAAAAATTATGGAGACCAGTCATTCAGGAAGGTTGAGAAATGACAGATGGACAGATTGGGTACTGTAAATAGCATCACAAAATGTAAAGAAACCAAGTATCAACTTTCTAGCACATTGGGTAGTTCTCGGCGATGATCTGTAGGACAATGTGAACTAAAATCATACAGAATGAGGTGTTGATGAAATGGAAGGAATATCCACATTGATGTATTTCACAGACTCATTATGGTATTGCACTGTCATTAATTTTAAAATCCAGGGCTTTTTCCTCACTGAGCAGAAGTAGTGTTTGTAAAGAAAAGATAAAGAAGAATTTCTATGATTATAAGGAATTGGCCTATGGCAGTACGGTTCAATGGTGACTAGCATGGCTTTTTTTTTATTATTAAGACCTGGGTTCATATTTTGTTTCTAACACATATTAGCTGTGTGACGAAATTCCTAAACCTCTCAGTACTCAAGAAATTCTCAAAGACTAGAAAGACAAGCAAATTGCTCATCTGCATTAGTAGAAGGAGTTTCCATACTGGGAATACATCCACTGATGAAATCACAGGCTTACTCCAATACAAAAAGAGAAAAATTAAGAAATAAATTGGTAGTTGAAGGAAAGACATAACATTTTTATTAGGACAGACTTATACAGTCATACATTCTCAAAGAACTCCACAAGTCCAAACCATCCCTTCCCTGAAACAATATCTCCAAAAAAGTCAACCATACTTTGCTTAAGCATGTTCAGTAATGAAGAACAATAACAAAGACTATAGAATGCCTTTTGCTCAAAAAATTTATTTGTTTTTCAAACACTAAGGATGGTGATTTACTCCATCTAGTTTATAGTTTTTAGTAGAGGTGTCAAAACTCCACAGCTAGTACCAATGGAATATAGTGCCATTAATTGTCAGACTCAGGATCATTTCTTCCTCTTCCTAGACTATCATAGGGGTAGTCTATATACAAAGGTCATCTATATATAAAGGAGTAGAAATGAAATGTTAGCACAAGTCACAGAAATCAAGGCCATAACATTTATTAAAAGGATGCATGCTCAGCCAAGTACATTTTCGAAGTCAAATTTGTAAAGATATCACCATGTTCCTCCCTGGCAAAGCTCCTGCCTTGCAAAAGTAGAAAACTCCAAAGGTTGCAAAAATGAGAAAGGCTAAAACAAAACACTTCCTATCTCTTTTTGTGAAAATTTATGCCAGAGGAGAGGCAGGGATGTAGTAAGAATAAAAGTCATTTAAGAAAGAGATTGGTAGGAATTTTGAGTAAGCAAATAATAAAGCCATTCTGTACTCATAATTATGCATGTACCTGTGGTCTCTCCTGATAAAATATAAAAAGTAATGATTGTTTCTTTTTTATCCTCAGGGCCTAGAATAATGCCAGGCACATAGTAAATCATTAATAAATGCATGTTGATTGATTGGTAAGAAAAAAAGAAAAGGTCAATATTCATGAAACTTGGATAACAGAAATTAAATTATAGAAAATAAAATATTAATTCCTATTCTGGTGGGTCATCATGGGTTAGAGGTGCCCTGGGTTTTCTAAGATCATTGAAGTAAAACTTAAGCTCTAATAGGTTGCACCATGTTGGGAAGGCTTTGAATACCTGGTAACAGATCGAGTGTTCTTTCCAAGGACCAAACTAGTGAAGTATGTAAAGGTTTGTCACTCCTAGGATGACCATGGCAATCATGAAACAATGTAAAACATACAATGACCTTTGGTCCTCAGTACCCCCTCCTCCTCCTGCTTTTGCAGTGTTAGAGTTAGAGTATCAGGAAAATGGGCAGAAGGTAGTGAAAATCAATTTTAAATGATCTAGAATATAGAATTAGTAATTGATTCTACATTATAGACCAGAGCCTATGGATTCTATAAGCTTTAACTTAGCAGTCCCTGTTCTAAATGCAAGATTTTTGTCCAATGATAAACAAATGGATAAATTATTGGAGAAAATCAGTTTATCAATCTTGACATTCTCATTGTAAATGAAATCAAAAGACAGAAGGAAATTGCAGCTAAATAGATAGTAGCAAAGAAATGTGTGATCAAACAGAAGATGACATGGTAATGTGGTGAAAACATAGATAACCAATGGACAGCCTGTGTGCTCCACTAGTATATAAAATGACGTAAAGAAAAAAAAAAGGAAGGACTCCAGTACATCATTTAGAACTTCTGTTGGATTTATAAGATGGCATGAAGGAAAGTCACAGGATGGGCATGCATAGATGGGTGTTAAACTTCATGATTGGCAAGAACATATATATCAATATGATCATAAATTCTTTCATGTATTTTAAGGACAATAATAATAATGATACTTAATTACTAAAGAATGCTTTACAATTTTCAAAGAACTTTTGTATACATTGTCTAATTTAATCCTCAAAATAACCTAATAATGTATCATCATACATCACTTTACAAAAAAGGAAAATGTAGCTCAAAGTTGTTATATAATTTGTCTAGTTTTACAAAGCTTCCTAGTGATGTGGACAAAATGAATTATGCAAAAATCAAATGGGCTGCCCCATGAGATAGTCAGATCTTCAATGGAGGGGATCAAGTATAGGCTTAATAACCATTTGCCATTAATGTGGTGCAGGGGATTTGTTTGAAGATATGGGTTTGGATTAAATGACCTTTTTAAGGCTCCTCCTAACACTCAAATTCTCCTATCTTTTTTTTTTTAGCTAGGCAATGAAGTTAAATGACTTGCCCAGGGTAACACAGCTAGTAAGTGTCAAGTGTCTGAGGCCAGATTTGGACTCAGGTCTTCCTGACTCCAGGTCCGGCACTCTATCCACTGTGCCACCTAGCTGCCCCCAAATTCTGCTATCTTGTGAAATGACCAAGATTCCTGACTTCTAGCCTAATGCTTTAATCATTACTGTGTCCAGAATAAAAAATACAGGATTCAAGGACTGATGTTCTCCCACTGGTGAATTATGTTCGTTATCGCTAGTGATTATCAACAGGAAGTATTTCATTTTTGAACCTCAAACCTGTGTATGGCACTGTGCTAGGCATTATCAGAGATAAAAGACATAAAACATGTCTACTACTTCAAGAAGTATACAGTCTTGCTGAGGAGTGAGGATGTTAATACATGAAAAAAATCACTTCACTCTAAAACAGTCTATATTAACTGTCTTAAGCTGTAGTAGGCATTCAGAGGAGGGAGAGACATTTCCAAATGGGGCAGTGAGGGAAGCCTTCTCATAGGAGATACAATCTGTGCTGATCCTTGAGGGTAGGCAGGCTTTTGACAGGCAGGGAAGTATTTAGTGGACAGCAGCAAACATATTTTTCATCCAGTCCTTTGTAAAGGGGTTAGTCTCTGGCCAGGGGTGGGGAACCTGCAACCTCAAGGCCACATGTGGCCCTCTAGGCCTCAAGTTCCCACCCTGATCGTGGCTATCCAAATGGGTTGGAATAGGCATTGACTTTCTTTAGTATATCCTCAACATCTCTGAGGCAGTGCTCAGCATACAGTGGGTACTAATTAAATATTTTTGACTGGGTATTTGTCTTTCTAGAAGCTTCTAAGTTCAAGATTCTCTCAGATCCTACTCCTTTCCTATTTCCCCATAGTATCTATTGCAGCAGATTTGTAATCTCTTGCTTAAAGAGTTTAAAGATCATTCTGGAGTAGAGAAGCTATTTTTCTACTTCTGTAATTACATAACTGTTTGTGAATAATGTAAGTACATATCCTAAGGGACATGATTCAGCATTTTCCCACAAATAACTTTTTTTACATTAGCACATTACTGAGAGACTACCCTAAGGCATAAGGATAAGAACTTATGTTGCTAATGTACATATTGATGATTTAGGACTCATGTCAGTATGTAAGATCATAAACCTCTAAACACTGTAAACCAACATCAATATCTTCACCATGAATAACAACATTTAAATGATAGTTTGTATTCACTAAATTGTGGTGTACAGAATATTAAAGGAGACAATGAGTTGTCTTAGTTTCATCTCTTACAACCTGTGTGACCTTGGAGAAGTCTCTTTACCCTTCTGGGCCTTGGTTTCCTCAACTGTAAAATGAAAGGAGTGGATAAAAAAGAAAATGTCTCAGAGAACTTAATGAGTTGACTATAGTCATACAAGCAATTAAATAGAAGAATGGACACTTCAACCCTGACTACTGAGGGCATTCATTGTTGATTTCCCTATAAATGCAAAATTGTTAGTCCTCTATTGCCTCCAGAGCTTCCTTACATCCAGTCTGTGGATGTTGTATATTATATCTCTCATGGAACACATGGAAAAGGAGTATCTAACCGCATGATCTTCCCAGATATGACCTTCTCTGTAAGACAGGAGATTCAAATCCAGAGTGGCCGGAAGGAAAATAACCTGTAATTTGTTCCTGGAGAATATGGCATTAAAAAGACCAGTGTTAATTTGAGAAGCAAAATTGTTGATTTTGAGAGGGCAATGGTGATGCATACTTCCTACCTTTTGGGGGAGGAAAGAGGTGAGGCTGGATCCATGAGTTCATGGGCACACGGAGCCCTCCAATAGGTTAATCCTGTATATATATGTTATTAATCCAGATCAAGAATTGTGCTGTAATTTACAAGAGTTTCTTGGGGGATGAACAGGTTGAGATTTGCTGAGTGAGAGCCAGGAAATTCATAGCTGCTGTTCTAGAAGAGACCTCAAAAGCAACCTAGTTCAACCTCTTCATTTTCCATGAGAAAACTGAGACTCCAATGGGTCTAAGTCTAAGTAACTGTCATAAACTCACACAAGTAGTAAGTATCAGAGCTAGGATTTAAACTTAAATAACCTCCAGAATGAGTGCTACTTCCCCCACTCTTTAAAAATTGAGCTACTTTCTTTTTTTTTTTTGTGAGGCAATTGGGGTTAAGTGACTTGCCCAGAGTCACACAACTAGTGAACGTTAGGTATCTGAGGCCAGATTTGAACTCAGGTCCTCCTGACTCCAGGGCCAGTGCTCTATCCACTGTGCCACCTAGCTGCCTATCCCCCACTCTTTAAAAAAAGAAAGATAAAGGTCCTTTACCCCAGTTCCAGTCTCTATTCCTATCCCTGTAAAGGATAGGAATAGAGATTCGACCTGTGATTTCATAGGTAGAGAAAATTCTCCATAAGAGAGCTCCCTATGCTCCCTATACTTAAGTAGGCTGGTATCTTCTCTTAAACATAAATTCTTGGGGCAGATAAGTGGTGCAGTGGATAAAGTGCCCTGCCAACAGTCAGGAAAACTCATCTTCATGAGTTCAAACCTGGCCTTCAGATACTTCCTAGTTGTATGGCCCTGAACAAGTCACCTAACCCTGTTTGCCTCAGTTCCTCATGTGTAAAATGAGCTGGATAAGGAAATGATAAACCACTCCAGTATCTCTGTGAAGAAAACCCCAAATAGGGTCATGAAGAGTTGAACACGATTTAACAAAAACTACAACAAATGCTGTCCAGCTTGCAATAGTGCATTTTTACCAGGTCTCCCTAATTCTGTGGCTGGCTCTCTAGTTGCTCTGCCACAGTGCTTACCTCATCTAAGTAAGAACCTTAGATACATTTCACTTCACCAGAGTACAGTATTTTCATCTTGTCCGAATTGCCATTTATAAAGTTAGATTAAAGATATCACATGTTCTCCCCTCTTATCTTGAAGGTCACAGAAGTGGTTAGATTAACCACCAGCCCTTCCCAAACAGCCAAGAACTCTATAACAATGCCTCAGGGTTTTGAAGAAGTAGTCTCTAACACTAGGAGGGTGGGTTATAAAGGTGAGGAGATAGCAATTTAAATATTAATAATTTAAATAATGTCAACTGGTGATCTTGAAACTACATTCCTACCACATGCTGGCAAATACTTAGATACAAACTTACCTACTGCAATCATCTCTTCAGAAACTTGGGAGAAAGGGAGAAAAAGGAGGGTAAAAACTTTTTTATAAGTAACATTGCTCCAGGACTCCTTCAGAGAAGCTGAGTCAAATGAAACCCTCCCCTACCCCAATTAATAATCTGGAGATTACAGGATAGAACAGGATAGGACTGAGGAGGTTTCTGCATTATTTTCTCTTGCCTAACTTCTCACACCCACCAATAAAAGATAAGAGGAGTGCACCTTTGCCACCATCAACCAGACCTGGATCTCCTGATGTGTGAAGGCAGTTAGCATGGGTCTTTTGATAATCTTTTCATTTACAAAGGCTGCAGATATAACTTACCGCTTATCAAAGAGAGCAAGCAAAGGCCAAGACAGATTTCAGATCCTTGGAATACAAAGGATACCTCCTAACTTCAGGGTCACAGAAGTTTCAGAAGATCACGTCATTTAACCCAAGGGTGAAAATGCCCCATCCATCACGCAACAAAGACAAAAACTTTTAGCTGTGGTTTTCTATGGCAATCACAAGCAATTTTTTTCAGTTGGATGTTATAGTTAGAAAATCAGGGTCTGATTCACCACACAGGCATGTAAATATTGAAATTCTTAAGAAGTCTTTAACTTGCTTTATGGAATTTGAAAAACTGAAAAACTGAAAAACTTTAAGTGAGGGGTGGAGGAAACCCATGTCCTGCATTATACAGGTTTGTTCCAAAAAAAAAAAAAAAAGTTTAGCCACTAATTGTAACATGATCTAGGCAGAATTACAGCCGCCCCCTTCCCCCAACGCCCCTGCAAAGAAACAAAGATCAACACGCAACTGGAAGTTTCAAGCCCTTTTCCCTTTCAGTTTCGTACCTGTTCCTACCACCACCAATACTGTCACCACTCAAACACACCTTCAGATATTTTCTCTGGTTCTTACACCCAATAAGGAATTGTAAAACACTGAAGAGGCAAAATAACCAACCTTTCTCCAAGTTTCCCCGATGTTATGCCAGTGCCTTCACAATTTCACAATATTTTTGCAGTTGATTGACTCCTCCCCTTATTCAAAGCAGTCTTGAAACCAGATTTTCTCCCTTTCCTATTTGCTTATGAAACAAAGGTCTTGCCTCCTGATAGCTTTCCTCCATTCAGAACCTTTTTCCCTCTTTAGACATATTCCAGATCCCACTACAGAGCCCTTCTTTCTGGGTCTATTATTTGGTTTTTAGGGAACTTCCTTTCCCCTACCCAGTTTCTCTCTTCTTGGAATTCCCTAAGAGGTGTAGAGAGAGTAAATCTTTTTAATTTTCTTGTAGCTATAGCATTTTAACAGTGCTTGGAGGAAGGGATAAGGAAAGAGAAGGCTGACCTTAGTTCAGCTGGGTGTAGTGCTAAACAATCAAAGAATCACTTAATCACATAATCTCAGAGTTGGAAGGGAACCTCATATATGAATAAGATCCCCTATACAATATAACTGACAAATCTAGCCTTTATTTCAAGATCTCCAGTGAGAGGAAATCCTTAGGTCCCAAGATAATGAACTTCCCTTCTGGTTAATTCTGAGTTTTGGGAAGTTTTTCTTTCCATAATACCTAAATTTCCCTCTTTGCAAATTCCTCAAATTGCTCCTAATTATGTCTTTTAAAGACATTATCTGACTTGCCTCCTGAACACTCCATCTCTTCAGAGTCCTACCTAAAAGTTGTTGCATAGAAATAAATGTGATTATTCCAGATAAGGTCTGACCAGGGCAGAGGACAGAGAGACTATAAACTCTTTATACTTGGAAGCTGAGCCTTGCAGGGTAGGCCAAGAGTACATTAGTTTAGTTTAGTTTAGTTTTTCTTGTTTGTTTGTTTTGTTTATTTTGTTTTTGGCTGCCATAACACACTGTTGACACCCTTTGAGCTTGTAGTCCCCTAAATAAAAACTCATATTTTTTCATTTGAACTGCTGCCTAGCCACATTTCTTCCATCTGGTACTTATAAAGTCAATTTGTTGAACCCAAGGGTAAGACTTTACATTTATCTCTATTAAATTTCATCTTATTCATTTTGGCCCAATATTCTAGACTGTCAAGATCTTAAACTATCCTTCCCAGCTATGCATCATCTGAAAATTTGATAAGCCTGTCATGTATGCCTTTCTCCAAATCATTGATAAAAAATGTTAAATAGCACAGAACCAAGCACAGGTCCCTGGAACACTTCACAAAAAACCTCCTTCCAAGTTGAAAGGGAAATAGTAAGAAATATTTTTTGGGTCCAGTCATTCAACAAGTTTGAAATCTACATAACCTCTTCATTATCTAGACCAGTGGCCTTTCAAATTTTGATTGTGCACTCCTATCAGCAAAATTTTTTTGAGCACACATACCCAATACATGTATATTTATTTAACTACAAATTATATAATGAATATAATAGGTATTATAAATGTACATAAAATCAGAATTTTAGAAGAAGAGATAAAGATGAAATGAACAATAATTTTAAATTTCTTTATGGATGATTAAAAGCATTTTAATCTTAAAAACAATGTGATTGATTGAATATGCCTCATTAAAAAAAATCTCTATGTTTGTCCTGGGGGATAAAGGGATAGGGGATAGATCAGCCTTGTCAACTCCAGTTGTTTTGTAGTAACTAATTATTTAGTTAATTTAATCAATGTAGCTAGCCAAGCAGGTGAATTTTTTAAGACTTTTATTGAAAGATACACAATAAAACAAGCAAATAACGGGTTCACAGTCAGTGAATATAACTGTTTCTCAGCAAGTTATGTGTCTGTGTAAATATTTGTGATACAAAAACAAAAACAACAAGAAATGAATTGTCTTTTGATTTCAATTCAGCAAAAACATTTTAATATAAATGCATTCCTATTTCTTTGTGTGGATGTAGTTAATGTATGGCATCACATTTTCATGTTCTATTCATTTTGGCTATTTGTATGTGTATGTGAGTATGCGTGTGAAGTGTTTTAATGTGTTTGAGAAACAGCAGAAAGGTCAATTTGGCTAGAATGGCAGTAATATATTAGGTTGGAAAAGTACAAAGGACCCAGATTGTGAAGGACTTTAAATGATGAGCAAAAGAGTTTATAGTTGATTGGAGAGGTAACAAGGAACCACTGAAATTAATTGAGTGGAAAGTGGAGTGTGAACTTGTCAGTGAGACTCATTTCTCTCCAGACTACACTCCACACTTCCTCTACCATCTCCCAGATCTTCATCTTGAAGCTCATTCCAACCCTGAAATTCATACGTTGCAAATAGCTTCCACCCCTCTTCTCCCACTGATTGGATAGCTCCTCCCAAAACCTCCATTTAAGGAGAGTGCCCAGACCAGTCTTGTTTCATTCTTTTCCAAGTTATATCAACTTCCTTTTATGTGTTGTTTTCTCCCTTAGAATGTAAGCCCCTTAAGAGCAGCCCCCCACTTTCTTTCTCCTTATATTTATATTCCCAGTATTTAATACAATGCCTGGTGCATAGTGAGGCTTCAATAAATGATTGTTGACTGACTATATGGAGAATGGATTAGAGTGGAAAGAGACTGGGTACAGGAAGATCATTTAAGAGGCCACTGAAATAGCCTGGGTGAAAGATGATGTTCTGAACTAGAGTGGTGGCTATATGAATGAAAAAAAGAGAATAGATGTCGGAGATGTTGGGCAGATAAAGGAAAAGACTTGGCAACTTATTTGGATGAAAAAAATTAAGGATAAAACAATGGCAGTGAACCTAAGTGATCAGAAGGATTGTGGTTCCCTGGACAAACTTAGGGAAGTTCAGGGAAGCAACAGGTTTGGGGTTAAGGATAATTTAATAATATCTGCCTATTCTTGCCTGTTCATCCTATACAACTCATCCTTCCCCATCCAAAACTAGAAGAGGGAAGTGAGGCCAGGCTTTTACTCACCATTCACTTCCCCAGAATTTGAAGCCTGCCCTCTGAGGGATACCTACTTTAACTGCAAGGTGATCCAGGGGGAATTAGAGAGGAATACAGCAGCAGGATGTGGTATTACACTGGGAGAATATGGGCCTGTACGTGTTGATGAGCAAAAGTAGTTTTATTGGAGACAAACCCCATTACTGGCTATCAGTGGGAGGGTGAGATATGACCTGTCTTCCTACCATCAGATTGCTTTGGCGTCTTGCTTCCATTTGTCTGTTGTTAATCATTTTTCAGTTGTGTCTGACTATTTGTGACCCCATTTGGGTCTTACTTCTTATTCAATAAGAAGTCAATGTGTTTTGTGGGGTATCATAGACAGAATTTTGGGCTGGAAGTCAGGATACCCAAGTTCTATTGCCAGTTCTACCCAGTTCTGACCATAAGCAAATTTGGGGGAGGAATCTGAGAAGGAGTTAGGAAGATACAATCACTATTTTCAAATATGTGAAGGGTTATTATGTGAATTAGAGATTAGATTTGGATAGATATTAATTGAGATTGTTGGGATTGATAAAATTTCTCCATGCCTCAGTTTCTTCTTCTGCCAAAAAAGGAAAGATAATAATAAATTGCCATAGAAATCTCATATAACTGTTGTGAGAATCGAATGAGGCAATAGGTACAACACTGCTTTTCAAACATAAGAAATAATAGCATTTATTCCAGTACTGCTGGTTTGCACCTGAATACTTGTCAGTGGAAACCTGCCTGATCTAACTCTGAGAAGAATGTATAAAAAAACATCAAAATCCTATCTATCTCTCTATTTATTTTTATTAAACCTTGTACCTGTTTGCCTCAATAATAATCAGAGTGGTGTTCCTAGGTTTTGGGAAATGATGGGAGACCTCTGATCTAGACATATGGTATTTCTAGGATGAAGAGTTTAATTGAGCTTAAATTGCCAATTACTAAGAAGTTTTCTTGGATGGTTGAACAGATGTCCAACTGAGCTGAATCAAGTCAGTCTTGTTTTAATTTTGAGTAAGATACTCTTTGTCCAACATAAAAACCAGCCTTCTAACAGATATTTAATACAACTAATGCCTGGCTCTTCGTCCCCAACACCTGTGACATTCCTCAGCTTTATTTGAGAAATTGCATTATTGCTACTACTGAGATATCTATTCTAGAAAGAAATGGACTTTAGTTTTTCAGACTGTCAAATCAGAAGCTTTTGTAAGAGCAAAATGATTCATTCCATTATTGCACATCTTAGAACTTGTGTTCAGAACTATAGCTTGAGAAAAAGGTATTTGTTATAAGCATTCACTTGTTTGACAATTCCGTTCTAAATTTTGAAAGTAGTGCTCCTGTTAAGTACTTAGCTGACAATGGTGTGCCAGGACTCAGTCATGCAAAATAATTATTGTTCACGGTCCTTTGGCTTAAGTCAATAGCTCTGTGTGAAATGCAACATAATGCTGTGATCTAAAGTTTCTAAATCAAAACTAAGGAAAAGGTAACTTTTTAAATGAATATGTTGGAACATTCTCAAAGTTTTCACAGTAAATAGCTAGTGATTTCCTTGGACCCACAAGAAGTGTGATATTTCTAGCAGCAAATCCATCATAGGAATTATGTTAACTTGCATTTATACAGTTTGATAATTGCTTTTAGTAAAACAATTGAATACAAAAAAAGCAAATGATGTTATTGAAGTATTAACAAATAATGTATGCCATTTGTTCTGATGATTATGCTAGGTGACCGAATGGATAGAGTGCCAGACCTAGAGTCAGAAAGACCTGAGCTCAAATTTGGCCTCAGATACTTAATAGCTGTGTGACCGGCCTGTCATTTAACCCCATTTGCCTCAGTTTCCTCATCTGTAAAATGAAGATATAATAGCACTTACTTCCCAGGGTTATTGTGAGGACCAAAGGAAAAAAATCATTGCAAAGTGCTTAGCACAGTACCTGGCACGTAGTAAGCATTATGTAAATGCTAGCTATTATTGTTAAAGCTGTCTATTTTCAATTTTTCTTATATG